GCAGCTGCACATTGGCTTCTATTATAAGCATGTTTTTTAGTCAACAGGTTTTCTATACAGTACAGGACAATGCATAAAAAAAAAGTAATCGACCATATAGTGCAGATGCAGTACAGAGGAAAGACAGAGATTAGGTTGAAAAATAGTACTGTGGCCTCCTGCTACCAGCTCATTTGGCCTTGAATACGCAGGAGGAATGGTCATGCGGAGGGGCAAATGCAGAGCACCCTGAGAGAACGCTGAACATGAAGTAAGAGAGACTTTAAAATGTAAATAGTTGTGTTATGGTTATTATAAGTGCATTTATGTGTTACAGGTGTGCTAATGTGCTGGGCTGTGGAGCTGGTTACCGTCAGGGTGTGACGCATGACTGTGGGTGACCTGACTCGCTGTCCTGGCCATTTAGATGCTAGTGCTAAGCAGCAGATCTCCCCTGCTGCTTTATTCATAAAAGAGCACTCATTCAAAGTGTTTGCCGTATCTTATTCTTCTATGTGGATGCCACACTGGTGTCAGAAGTAGGATTGTCCCCTAACAGATGTGAAGAAATTACGAACCCAGCAGCGAAACGGTGGAGAAGACCGAGCCTGAACGAAGACAGCAAGAGAGGAGCAGCACAGCAAAGATGGGCAGCAGGGGAAGGGATTGCAGCCAAGACGGTGCAACAAGGCTCAATGGCGGAGCCTGGCTGGAGGATGGCAGTTGGCCATGAGAGCCTGCAGATGAAGATGCCTGGACAGTGGCTCTCAGGAGGATGCCTGACAGTGAGGCTGGCACAACATGGCTAGGGACCAGAGCTGGTGCGGGAAGGCACCAAAGACGAGGCTGGTGCGAGGGGGCTCAGAGGCCGGAGGTGCGTTAAATTGGCGACACGTGGCCGTGAACGCTAACCCACATTGTGTGTGTTTTCTTGTATTCTTAATCAACCAACAGCTTAAAGGGGAATTCCTCTAATTGAAAAAAATCCAGAACCAATAATAAAACTTTTTTTTTAAATTTATAACTATTTTCCTACAAAATAGGTATGGGGGGGAAGATTGTTTGGGCCAGCTAAGGGGGATAACACTCTGTACAATCAGTGTTTGTTCTTACTTTTCTGTGGGAGAAGGAACCAACCAGTGACCTGAGAACATCTCTGTATGAAGACGTCTTGAAATAAATCTAACCTTCTCCTCAAAGTGCACGAGTCTGTCTAGTTTATTCTCAATAAATTCTACACTGACACCACAAGTCAACACAGCATTACATATAAAGACTCAGAAGACACACGTCGATTAGGGAACCAAAGGTGTTTTTTATGGCATCATTCTAAAGAACTCATTTGGAACCTTTATTTTTAAGAGTGCAGATCAAGAACCCTACTAAATCTTAAAATTTTTAATTGAATTGTTCTGTAACTTTGTAATTCACTTCTCTGCTTATCAGGAACGAAAAAAAAACCCACTTAACATCGTTTTGCATTAAAATAATGACCTTTGTTCCAATATGTTTCATTATGATTGTTTTCAAATCACTTGCACTGATTTGCTTTAATGAAATCCGCCACCCAACCAGCTGTATCTCCAGTGCCTTGCTCTGAATGCCTTATCAATCACGCTCTCCAATTTAAACCCCCCCTGCTGAAGTATCGAATGTAACGAGGGCCAGACGAGGTGCCAATTAGTGAGTTTAGCCCTGTGCGCCAGGACCTTTGACCCTTGGGGTTATCAGGCCATCAGCCCCTCCACTCGGGAGCGTAATTAAACAGGAGCGAGTGATGATACCGGTGGTGAGAGAAAGAAAGAGCACCCTGCCTCTTTCGGCTGTGAGTCAGCATTTGGCCCAAATCTTTGCTTGCCTTGCTTGCCTTATTCGTGTTGCTGCTGCTGCTGTAGCTAAATGAGAAGATTTTCACTCCAGCCTGCTGCTATTGTTTAACATGAACCCACAATAATAAAAGCATCTTGTGCTTTTATATGAATTCTATTATATTAATAAAGATATTTTATTGCTATTTGATTTTGATGAAAAGTAATAACTGTGTGCACAGTCTTAATTTGCGAAAGAAAAAATGTACACTTTTTTGTTTTGTTATTTCTTGTCAAACAAACAGAAAAAGGTCAGACATAGCTGATGATCCAGCATGTATATCGAATGTTAATGGAATTCCTTACATAACTATGTAAATGATGTATGTAATTATATTTAAACAGTAGGCTAATTTGTGGGAAGACGCCTCTCAGGGTCAGACACTGCCCCTCTCTCTCATTTCTTCTCCTGATCAAATGATGGGGGCCAAACACATTTACTGAACGGCATTCCTGCATTCCTTGGAAACTTTTTGGGATCAGTTGGTGTACTTCTACATCACTGGATAATGGTGATATATGCATTTAAATTCAGTTTTTCAAGTAAGGAGTTAATATTAAAGCAAAGAAATAGAATCAGTGTAGTGTCACTGCAGAACTAATCACAGGTATTCAGGTAAGCAGTTATAGTGTGGATCTGTCAATGTAATCTCTGGTTGAAACAGGAACATTACGGTGTGGCAGTGAGGTCTGAATGGCTGCTGTTCATGTCCCACTTTTAACATAATGTAAGAGGTTTTCAATGAACAAGATGAGTTTTTGTCCACAGACAGAAAAGTGTACAAGGATTATCATGTCTTGGTGGATGAACAGTCATTTAGAAATTGCTAAATCAGTTAGTTTTAACTAACATCTAAGACACAGTGTAGTGGCTGATGACACAGATCCAAGTGAACCTATCCATGCTCCGCCCAGAATTGTGTTTGTTTATAGCAAATGTTGCAGCAAGCATTACAAACTCCATTGAGGGTAATGTAAAATTTCCCATCTCCTCCTTGTCTTTTACTCCTATATCTCAAAGTAAGGCAGGTCTGGCCTTCTACCTTAACCCCTTAAAATCCCTGATTTATCACATACTAAGACCCATGTGATATTATGTGACAAATAGACTGGACCAATCGTGATGTTACACAACAAAGGGACTGAACTCATTCTGATATGTGACAAATGGACTGAACCCATTGCGATATTATCCGACAAGTAGACTGGACCAATTGTGATACTGTGCGACAAGTACGCTGGACCAAATGTGATATTATGGGACAAGCAGACTGGACCTATTGTGACAAGTATTCAACAAGTAGACTGAACCAGTTGTGATGTTACACCATGTAGACTGGACTGATTGTGATATTACACAACAAATGGACTGAACCCATTGTGATATTGTAAACAAGTAGACTGCACCAACTGTGGTGTTGTCCGACAAGTAGCCTGGATCAATTCTGATGCTACGTAACAAGTGGTCTAGATGAGTGGTGATGTTACACAACAAGTAGACTGGACCAACAGTGTTATTATTCGACAAGTAGACTGGAGCAGGTGTGATGTTTCACCATGTAGACTGGACTAATTGAGATATTGCACAACAAATGGACTAAACCCACTGTGATATTACACAACAAGTAGACTAGACCAACTGTAGTGTTGCGTGACAAGTAGACTGGATCAACTGTGATATTATGTGACAAGTAGACTGGATCAGTTGTGATATTATGCAACATGTAGACTGGAACAATTGTGATATTATCCGACAAGTAGACTGGACCAATTGTGATATTATCTGACAAGTAGACTGGACCAATTGTGATTTAATGTGACAAGCAGACTGGACCAATTGTGATATTATCCAACATGTAGACTGGAACAATTGTGATATTATCCAACAAGTACACTGGACCAATTGTGATATTATGCAACATGTAGACTGGAACAATTGTGATATTATCCAACAAGTACACTGGACCAATTGTGATATTATCTGACAAGTAGACTGGACCAATTGTGATTTTATGTGACAAGTAGACTGGACCAATTCTGATTTTATATGATAAGTAGACTGGACCAATTGTGATATCCGACAAGTAGACTGGACCAATTGTGATGTTATGCAACAAAAGGACTGAACCCATTCTGATGTTATGTGACGAATGGACTGAACCTCTTTGTGATATTATCCGACAAGCAGATTGGACCAAGTGTGATACTATGCGACAAGTATGCTAAACCAAAGGTGATATTATGGGACAAGCAGACTGGACCTATTGTGATACTATGCGACGAGTAGACTGGACCAATCGTGATATTATGTGACAAGTAGACTGGACCAATTACGATGTTACGAAACGTAGACTGGACAAACTGTGATAATACACAACATATGGACTGAACCCATTGTGATATTACACGATAAGTAGACTGGACCAATTTTGGTGTTACACAACAAGTAGACTGTTAACGTAGAAATAATGTAATATATCAGTACCTTTCAACAAAAAATGGCAAACATGGGGAAACAAAGGGGAAAGGGAAGGATAAAAGGAATGACTAAAAACATAATAAAATTCCAAAATGAACATTTTTTATTGTCGTATTTCATAAAGGATGAGTGCAAAGAAAGAGCTTGTGATGAGTCTAGCAGTCACTAAGCTGTGAACCATAAGGCATCTGTAAATACAAGCATTTGTACACCTACAACCTACAGTACAGAAACTCAGTCATGGAGAAAGTTGAACAAAACTAGCAATAATGTGCACAGAGTTAACAATGGAACAAAAGCATGAATTCATAATCAAAGTCCAAAAGACTATGTAAAAGAAAGAAATAAGAGAGAGAAAGAAAAGAAAAGACACACCCGGCACGATTCATACATTCATCATGGGACAGATTTGGCGTACACCCAAATGTCTCGATGAGGGAAAATTAATTTACAGCTACGGGTCCATGGCACTGATGCTGCTGATGGAAATGATTGTTAACGAGCTCCTCCTGCAATTCCTCCCATTTTCCTTTTCAGGATGGAATCAGGTTCCATACATTTCTCATCCAAACGAATATGATATGGAGTATATATCACAATCATTGTCTAAGACATCTATAATACTACATAATTTAATGCGGCCTGACAATGTTATTTTCAATGACTTTTAAACATATCTGTATATGTGTGATAATATTGGATTTTAACACTATAAATTACATACTTTATGTGGTTCTGAGGTTCGGTTAACATGGACAGGTCCCTCGTGGGTCCTCTCATGCATTTTAAAGGTGTGAGCTGTACAAATATAAATGATCCACAAAACAATATCTGATCCCAAAAATAGACTCGAGTACGTCCCAAAAAACAGCAGCAATAGATCTATAAGCGGTTCGGACACTGGAACTGGTTATGAGCTATAAAGAGCGGCTGTGAATAGAGTGAACAGATTGTCTACAGCCAGTGAGTATGGCACTGCGATGGCTAAAGCAGGTCTGCAGCACTTCTTTTTAAGCCATACGTAGCTAACGTCACCTTCATAACCGGTTCGAACGACGAAATATTAAATTCCTTTGAAATTTCCGCAATCAACACTTGCATGCAACAGTCATAGGTGTTGTGTAATTTACAGATGGCGATTATGAAGTGCACTACATGGCATGTTCTCGCTAGTGCATGTATACGATAATGTACAAACATTGTGTTTTTAAAATATTCTCAAAACATTCGTACGTATTTTTCCGTAAGAAAAAAAAATCGTAAGTCTGATTAACTCTCCGTCTCCTCGCGGGCTCAGAAACAGCATTAACTCCAGCTAGTTCTCAGGTTCGTCACAGTAAAGTATGATACAATTCAAGTGTCATTAACCACATTTACAAGCGGAACTTCTACAGCAAAACTGTGGGCGAGTCGGCCGTTGCCAACATTCGAACGCAGGCAGAAATAATTAGGCAACTAAAAGTACAAGGAATGGCTTCGTACTCTGCAGAAGGGTGAGGAACGTCCACATTCTTTTCTGGCTTCTAAAATAAAGAGAAGTAGCTTTGCGACTGCAAGGACAGCACGAATGCCGACAACATGCACTCATGGAAATCCACGACAGACAGAATGACAGTGACTGGACCGAAAGAAAATAAATAAACAACTTCAAGAAGTACATTTCTCAAATCCGAAAATAAATACATTCACTCCATGACTACATGTCCTTAGAAAATAATAATAATAATAATAATAATAATAATAATACAGACACAAAACTCACACAGAATAAAAACAAGTTGCATTTGTTCATAAAAATGCATCATAAATGCACTCAATACAGAATGACATGGCATATGATTGAAAAAAAGAGAAATTTTCATCAAAAGATAACATTGAGAAATTAATCACAAAGAAATTCATAAGCTGGCATAACAGAAACAGATTCAACAGATTAAAGGAAAACAAACAGAAAGAACAGAGAAGAAAAGCCAAGAAAGAAACCTCCCGTACATGATCAAACAATAATCAACAGAAGAACATGAGCTCTGGGTGTGCTAGCTAATCGATGTGTCAGGGAAACCGCTTTATGTATACAGCAGTGTACGCGTACAATCCAGTAGCCAACAGCAACTCAGTTTAGGTTTCTCACCAGTGCCTCACTAGAGCACCTCAGTGCACCACAACGGCTTCCTATTTAACGCCAACCTCATCTCCAGGACTTTTCATTTTGAATGTTTTTGCGAGCTTAGCTCATTTGACATACTCAGCTGATTTCCAGAAGTGTCCGGGATGAGAGAGGCGGCGGTTGCGTTTGGGGAGTTTCTCCAGCAGCTCCACCAGTTTGGAAAAGCTGGGTCTCTCCTCCTGCTCGTGCGCCCAGCAGAACAGCAGGATGTCCTAAAAGTGAGAAGAAAACTCAGTAACACTTCTTGATAATAATAGTTTATAAGGCATCTATTAGCTGATACTTCGAGTAATCATGAAATAGTGAGTTATTCATCACTAATTAATATACTAAAATTACATTTATAATGACTTACAGGTTACTTTTGCTGATCTAAAGTGATGTCATAGCGTCCTGAATGGCATAATTTGCTCCATATTTTGTTTGCAGTGTTTGTTTTTGCCTTAACTTTAATAAATTCAGTTAACTCACACCTGCATCCTTAATAGAGGTGTCAAGGCAGCAGGGATAGTTTATTATGTTTATACGTGTATAGTTTATAAAGTGTTTATTACGGTTGTTTATGGACTAATATTTTCTATTCTAGTGTAAAGATGTTTGTAAATGACTTCTGGCCCTTTATAGATATTTACATAAACTGAATTGTAAAAGCAAAAATGTTGCAGATACAACTTATACATCATTTTTAAAACATAACCAAGAAAATCGTTTTTTGTTAATGTCTTAAAATCCCAGACATTTTACATAATAAGCCTTATTATTCAGGAACTACAGGGACTTCAATGCAAACTGGCTGAGCTACTCTTAGGTTACAGAAGTGTGTAATAAAACCTTGGGCCTGCCGGTGGGCCTTGGCCATTTAGGGGGTTCATGTTCACTAAATCATTCGAAAGCCTAAAGTTTTCAGTATTTTTTATTGGTGTTTTTAAAGACACACCATGCTAGCAGCCAAGATTATTACTATTACTATTAGTATATTTTTTTGTAGATGTATTTTGTAAATTCACTAATAGTGCATGACATCTGAATTTCTGATTTGTTCCTCATTCATTATTTATAAATTAATATTATAGATGTATTTTTAATAACAATAATTGGCATGTAATGTAGTTCAATAACTGTAGGCTATGGCTGCCAAGAAACAAAGATTATTCCAGTGTTTTTTAATAATGTGCCACATTACTACAGAATTCAAATACAGAATTGTGTGGTCAAATCTGTGCATATCAAGTATTTTAGAGCAGCATTGAATGGGGCTCTGATTTTAGAACCAGAACTATTCATATTATAATATTATGTCTACAGTTCTACAGATTTATAGACCCAGAGAGCATCAGGCCCTCGCCTCAAAGGAAACCAAAGTAGTGAATTTTCTCACTTTTTTCTATTCAGAGCTGGAGATTCATGCCAGGACCCAGATTCAACAAGAAGTTATGACCAGCTTCAGACAGTTCTTCATTTGTACTTAGAAAAAGTATATAAATTTATATGATATAAATGCTTCAGTTACACTTTGCTCATAAGAATTTCTAGGGGTGGCAATAATTGTGACAATAAAATATAGGTTTTGGCTTTCTTAAACTAAATTTTCTTCAGTTTAACCGAAGAAAATTTATTTTAAGAAAGCCAAAACCTATATTTTTTCATGAGCTTTTATTTTACCCACCAAGGGTGCCAATAATTATGGAGCTAACTGTATTACGCTGCTGCTTTTTGAATTCATTTCGGACTCACTCTCATTCAATACTGAACTAAACTGGACCACATGACATCCTAAAATGATATTCAGATTCTTTATCTCATGACTTTCAGGTCATAACTTTTTTTTCTCTATTGGCTGATTTGGAGGTTTATTGGGCCTCAGCTATGGGGTAGAGTAGAAGTGATAAACTGGACTCCATCTGGGCCACAGCTCTGAGGATTTCAGCATTATGCCTCATTAAACAACCTCATTCAACTGATCAGCTAAATAGTAACACTTTTGCGAGTCGAATTCAGACTATTAGACAAGGGAAAACATTAATCACTTTAGAGCTGTGACCCAGAAGGAACCCAGTTTGACACCTCTGGTGTAGAGTGTGTCACGGAGGAGAGTTTGTGTATTTTATGCATACTCACAGATATCTCTTTGCCCATGCCGATCTGAGTGAGGTTTGGTTTCATGCCACTGCCCACTTGCCATATGATCACCTCCGGCGGCTGGTTCTTAAAAGGCCACTCTCGCGCATGCAGCTCATACCAGATAGTGCTGGAACACACAGAGCGGACAGTTATTACAGGGTGTGCATATAAAGTGTAGCACGCTCTTAAGCAGATTCAGGTCATAGAGCGCTGCAACATATGTCAGACCCTCACGATTCCAAATTCAAAAATAGATGCATATGTGACATCAATAATGCACTTGGGACGCCACTTCACTGGACCGTAGGTGTAGCCGTTATGGTTAAGGGCTGTCCAGAATAATTGATTAAAGACTCCGAAGGGGCACTTGACTTCGGTGAAATATGTTGGCTTTCTGAAGAGTGAGGGCATGCTGAAATTCCCTTCACCATATTTAAGGACTAATTAGGCCTAATTAAAAATCAAAAAGTCAAGTGTTGTTATTGAAGTAACAAATCCTCTCCTCGCCTGTACCCTGGGGTTCCAGAGAGAGACGGCTGCTTGGAAAAGGAAAAAGATAGAAGCGTTGATGAGAGTTCAAAGCTACAACCATGTACAACCATAAAGAAAACATTCTGATCCTTGTGAAATGCATTTTAGCAGGAACTGCACTGAGGAAAACTGACCTGAGGAAACTGACAACTACACTGTTCATTAAAAGATTGGTGGAAATCTCTAGGCATCTCAGGATTCGATTCAGCCATTAAAAATTTGGGATTATCAATTTTATCTCATTCTGAAAGTTGTTACTGAAAACGCAATTGCTAGCTGGTGCTCTTCCCTTTAAATGACGCAAACAAAAGCAATTTGCCTCCTGCTGAAGAAGCATCAGGCTGCTACTAGGAGTTGCACAAACTAGTCGACCTGTCAATTTTACTGCTTGGCGATGATGCTTTAAGCTTGACGTCAACTAGTCGCTGATCATGTGATTATGACATTAACAACCTGGACGCCTCAGAGAAAACAACAGGTGAGGAGCATGGAGATTTCGAGGTCTGTATCAAGGGGTGTCCTGAAGGCTAGCAATGTGATCCAGGGCTCGTTGGAAAGTACACGTCTATGCTCTACTGACCTGTGGTGTTTGGCTTAGTTCTAACATTTTTCCACCAATCTACGGTGCCTTAAAGATCGGATATTGAACGTCATTATCTCTGGTTTCCTGAAGACTACAGTAAAAAGTGTTGTTGGAGAGGGGGCAAAACACCCTATCCCGTAAAGTTTAAAGTCAGGTACTCTTATTTTCACCAAGTTACGGTGCTCTAAATTTCTCTGGCTCTCCAGACCTCCACCACACTTGAGCGTCTTGGCAAGGCTACCTAGGGTGCGCCTAAGTTGGATACAAATTTGCGAGACTCCAGGGTGTGTATCTCCTGTTCCATGAAGGCTAGTAATGCGGTCCAGGGCTCATTGGAAAGGGCATGTCTGCAGACCTGTGGAGTTTGGCATCTGCTGACCTGTGGAGTTTGGCTGAATTTGGAAAGTTGGATTTTAAAGTCACTGGTTGAAAAGCATTTCTTTCTCCTGTGGTTTTGTTCATCAGCGATTAGCTGACACTGACGACTTTCATCACACAGCTGTCGACTTTAAAACATTTGAAGTTGTGCAGTCCCTAACTGCCACACATGCTTGAGATAATCAATGAATTCCAAGTGTTCCAAGTGTTTTCCATCTATAGACGCCTGTGAAAAAGCATTAAGTATTATATTTCCATAATTCATAAATTTTCCTCAGGTCGTATGTCACTCTAATATAAGCATAATTCTTATTTTGTATGACATTTTGTGAATCAATTCAGAGTCTATCAAGAGAGTCAAGAGAGAATCGCAATGCATCTGTGAATCAGTTACTTTCAAGATCCCTAAGGGGGATAGAATGTGCAGCCTTTGGCATCTTTCCCAAGGTAGCACTGACACAAAAAATACTGACACAAATATTTACACGTGATACTGTTTCCCTTCAAATGAACCTGCTTAGTCTTTAATATGTTAACCTATTTGCATTAAAAACATTTTAAGAATCCAAGTTTCCATCCTACCACAGTTCATGTAACATTTACATGTAAAAAAATCACGTATTTTCCAGCCCTTAGTGTGGGAGTTTGACTCAAGAGGATGCCCTCACCAACTCTGACTGACATTTACGTAGATAAACACAGCGCGGTTATAAAATAGACAGGAAGAAGAGAGGTGGAAAAAAGCGAACAGCGCTGTAGGGTCACCTCTAGGTAACGTCACTTTGCTCTGACCAGCTGGGGAGCTTACACGAGCCTCCGTTCGGCTGCCATAGAGTGACAGAGCCACAGATCCTCCATATGGAGGCAACAGCTGAGAATGCAATTGTGTTAGGAGGCAGCAGAGCAGCATCCCCGCGCCTCTCCGGCCACCCATCCATCCCTCCATCCTTTATTCATCCGCCAGTGCACCCACACAGTGCAGCGAGCAGGGCAGGCCACACATACACACCCACAAATGCCACCTCTGGACAGACCAGCAGTCCAACAGTGTTAACTCAAGATCAAGGGCCCATATCAGGGAAAATTTCCTTTGCTTTTTTTTGAAAGAGTTGATGTAAACATTGCTCAAGGTTGTTTTGTTCACTTCCTAGTCCATACATGAAAACTGAGCTACAAAAACAGGCCAGTTTAAATTCATGATGGTTGTGATTTCACAATCATTAGGTCATTGAAATACGAACTGACATTCAGCCTATAGCAACTCACTCATTCATGCTAGTGATAAGGAGTGTTGTTACTGCAGACCGATGTAGCAGAGCTATTGGAGTAGAAGATGTCAGAAAACAATTAAATGTTGTGCTTTTTGTCCCTAAAGATTTCAGTCCAGACTTAACAGTTTGTTCCATGCAATTCCATCTCGACTGCTTTTTAAGCCATAATACGGCAGCCAATCAAAACATTAGTAATTTACATATATCAGTCTTAAAGGGCCACTTTTATAAACACCTTGGAATAAAGGCACTAAGAAAGGTTGGAAAATGGACAAGTAAAAATTAAATATTATGTTAATATTTGTGCATTAAATCATAAAAACATACGGACTTGAGTGAAAATGTTAGAAGAATATTAGCTGGTCTGTAAGTGAGCAACATCTACAAAATGTCAGTGATCCATGGCGTCACATTGGAGAATTCAGAATTTGATAGCTGAAAGCTTGAATCTAGAAGCACCAAGAGAAGTTTTTTTAGCTAGAGGATAGAATTAGCCAACTAATGAAAGCTATGAACTAGCAGTCTTAATGAACTATTAGCAACTCCAATGGGACATTTTAAGGGGAATTAAACTGAAAACAAAAAGCTAAATTCAGCTCCCAAGCACTGCCTTGGAGAAAGACCCTTAATACAAAGTATCTGCAATGTGTTGCAGTTCCTCCTGTTTCCACATTCTTCTCCTGCCTCCCTCATTTAAAGGGGGTAATATTGAGCCAAATTAATGGTGAGTGACAGACTCAGGGTCAGTTCAGTCAGTTCAGGGATGAAATGAAACTCCAGTTCATTAACCGAAATTCATTCGTAGACCTTCCGTGATGGTTTTTCCCAACCACGTAACGTTCTGAGATGAAATTGACCCTGGCCCTGTGCGTTTAATTGACCGCTTTGGGGCAACTGTTCATCAGCCTGAAAGACGCCACTATGGGAACAGAGAGATGGTTCAGTATTCTAAATGAGATCTTTACTAAACAGATGATGTTTGTATAGATAAGTGTAGCAAACTTTAGAGAACACAACAGACTTAGGGTTGAAGACATGCTGAGAGTTCTTAATAAAACTGAAATTGTGCCAACAAAACAAGCAACAAGAATGCTTTTCAGCTCTGGTTTCTCTTTTCTGTCTCTGTCTGGGTTGTGTAGCTGTAGGGAAAAAGTGTTGCATACATTTATGTTGCAATTCTTTCTGCATGCAACTCGCAACTGCATGGTCACCTCAAGGACTGAGACTCCAAGCTGGAAAGTGAGATCCCAAGTTTCTGGGTTGCCTGTGTTCACTGACATAAACACTGGTGTCACAGTGGAAATGGTAAATTCCCTTTGCATAATTTTTTTACTTCATATTACTTTTTACTACATATTTGTTGTTTTCTGTTCTGAGAGTGTGTTATGAGAAGAAGACGGCCTCTCCAGGAATTTGCAATCACAAACTCATGCAAATTCAACTAAACCTTGCAATATTTGCAAGGCCTCACAATTTTGTCCCATCATCGCATTATTTAATGTAGAAAAGGTTTTTGATAATTGCTTTTGATAATTGTAAAGTATGTAAGTGCTTTCACAATTATCAAAAGCATTCATCTTTTGAGCAATATGCCAGAAAGCCATGGACAATGATGAGAGATGATTACATTTGCCAAAGCTGAAGACAAGGCAAATCAATTTTACATGAAAGCAGGGTGGAAACTGTTTTTTATGCCATGCAACACTGTTATGGACAACTGACTGTCACTTTTCCAGCCTTGAAACATAACTAACTTAATATTTTGTGTACTTGTATGGCCAACTGCACTGGGTTTATTGTTGCGTTGAAGAAGCTAGGCTATAATAGACAATCTATAATCAGTAATCCCACTTTGTAAACAAGAAAATACCATGCTAATGCTTCACCCAGGTCTAGTTTAAATGCACAACGCTACTTAATATTCTACCAAAATTAAACGGGAGAGCACTTTATTTGACTTCTTTTCCTCATACTGACTGTAGAAATATAATGCTTATGTTGAATAAAGGTTAAATTATACTATTTCAATATAAATTATTAAAAGCTCATCTTGAGTGTGTTATCTGTTGCTTGTTTTTTTGCTTCTCGCAACAACCACTAAAGGGATGATCCTGGTGGGACTGGGAGGGTCTACAGATGGGCGACAAACTAAAGGCGAAACCAAGCTGTCTTAGTAAGGTGTCGGGCCACCACGACGTACCAGAACAGCTTGCACCTTGGCATAGACTCTACGAGTCTCTGGAACTGTATTGGAGGGATGGAGCACAGTTCTCCCAAACAATATTCTTTAAAATAGTCTTTTGTTGATGGTAGTGGAGAGAGCTGTCCAACATTTCCAATCAAAGTCTCCAATAGGTGATAATTGGGTTGAGATCTGGTGACTGTGTGTCATGACATATGATCTACATCATTTTCATATTCATCAAGCCATTCAGTGACCCCTCACTGTTATGATGGAATTTGTCCCACCCAGGATACAAATGTTTCTTCAGAGGATGAAGGTGATTAGTTAGAATAACTTTGTATTGGCTTGCAATGACCCATCTAAGGGGACAAGTGGACCCAAACCATGCCCCCTACAGTATTACAGAGCCATCTACAGCCACTGTAGCGGTCAAGAATTTAGGCCTGTGCTGTTCTTTTGGTATACGTTGCACATGCACTCTCTCACTTGTGGAGACTATGGTGAAGGATGATCCATCTGCAATGCAATGCACTGTAGCCCTACGATAATATCCCTCTCTGTGTAGCTGTGGACAGACTGTTGTTGTTGATGCAGTCTGGTCATGACCTGCATTGACATTCTCAGTCACCTAAAGAAGAGCTGCTCTTCTGTTTTTCCCTATTGCACTAATGACGGTCACTGAATGTGTGCTTTAAACCACAATGTCCAGACCTATTTAAATGTAGATGGAACTGTAATCACTTTGTGACTGAAGCTTCTGCCATCCAAAGTCACTTGGATCTTTTCTCTATGCCATCTTAATTCAAAATAAAGGTCAACTGGGCCTGCTCAGCATTTTTATACATGCCACAGAGCATAATAGGATGTTAATCGTTTAATGCAATTGTATCGTGCAGTACACCTGTCTGGATGCATCTGCAATTCAGGCTTTTTCCTTTAATTTGTCACTCATCTGTACATTATTGGCCTATCAAAGTCCATGTTTTGCTATACAAACTTAAGGTTGCTGCAGGCATGCATGTTTTTTCAAGTAGAAGCACTGTTATGCATTTAGATAGAAAGTCAGGGTTACTGACTCGAAAACATCTGACTTCCAAGAACAACAGAACTGGAAAAAAATGACTTGGGTGCATTGCATCACCCCCACTTTCTACAATAAGATTCTCTACACCTCCTGAAAGCAAAATGGAAAACTGGTGTGAGCGGGTGGTGAATAGAATGAGGATGCTTTAGTAGGGAGACCCACCCGAAGGCAAAGACGTCAGACTGTTTGGAGAAGGGGAGCTGGTCCTCCGCTGTCTCTGGAGAGAGCTGACGGATAATCTCAGGGGCGAGGTGACACAGCCAGCCACTGGGAATCCTCAACCTATCCTCTCTCCTACTGCAGAGAGAGAGAGAGAGAGAGAGAGAGAGAGGGGGGGGGGCAGAGAAAAAGGGGAGAGAAAGAGAGGGAGCGAGAAAGAGAGACAGAGATGGAAGGAGAGAGAAAGAGCACGAGAGCAAAAGTAGAAAAAAAGAGAGTGACAGAATGAGAGAGGGAGAGGGAGAAGAGGGAAAAACAGACAAAAATAAAGAGAAGGGAAGTGAGAAGAGAGAGAAAGAGGAGAGAGGGAGTGGAAGAAAAGGAAACAGGAAGAAAGATGAAAGAGAGGGTGAGGAAGAAAGGGAAACAAAAAGAAAGAGGAGAGAGAGAAGGGAGAGAAAACAGAAAAGGGAGATCGAGAAAAGAAAGCAAAGAGAAAGAAAGGGAGAGAGAAAAAGAAAGAGCAAGACAGAGCAAAAGGAAAGAGGTAGAGAATATAAGAAAGAATTGGAGGGAGACAGAGAGAGAGATCGAAAGAGCAAGAGAACAAAAAGAAGAGAGAAAGAGAGGGTGAGAGAATGAGAGAGGGAGAGGGAGAAGAGAAAAAGCGGACAAAGAGAAAGCGAAGTGGAATGAGGAGAGAGAGAGAGAGAGGAAGTAAAGGTTACAGAAAGAAAGATGAAAGAGAGGTTGAGAAAGAAAAAGAAACAAGAAAAAGAGAAAGAAAGAGGGAGAGAAAGTGAAAGAGAGGGAGATTGAGAAAAGAAAGTGAAAGAGAAGGAAAGGGAGAGAGAAAAAGAAAGAACAAGAGAATAACAAGAAAGAGGTAGAGAAAAAAGAGTGAGAGAAAGAAAGGGAGAATGAGAAGAGAGATAGAAATACAGAGAAAGGGAGAGAGAGGGGATTGAGGAGGGGGAAGAGAGAGAAAGAGGAGAGGGTGAGGAAGAAAAAACAAGAAGAGAGACAGAGATACAGTGGAGAGAAAAAAGACAAAGAAGGAGAGTGAGAAAAAAAAGAAAAAGAAAGGGAGAGAGAGAGCAAAAAGACAAAAGGAAAGAGAGTGAGAGAAAGAGAGGGAGATTGGAAGAGAGAGAACAAGAGAGAGAGTGTGTGTGTAAAGAGAGAGGGAGAGAAAGATGGGACAGAGAGGAAGAGGGATGAGAGCGGGAGAGGGAGAAAAGGTAACAGGGAGGGAGAGAGAGAGAGAATGATGGGGAAGCAAGAAAAAAACAGAAAAGGACAGAGAAAGAGACAGAGGGAGAAATAGAGAGAGAAAAAGAGAGGTAGAAGTAGAAGAGAGATAGAAAAAGAGAAAAAGAGAGTGTGTAAAGAGACAAAGAGAGAAAGATGGGACCGAGAGAAAGAGAGATGAGAGAGGAAGAGGAAGGAAAGGAAACGGGAAGAAAGAGGGAGAGAGAATGATGTGAGAGAAAGCGAGAAAAGAAAGAAATAGAAAGGGAGAAAGAGAGAGAGAGAGAGTGAGGGGGGAGAGAGAGAAGGAGAGATGTGAATTCAAACGATGCTAACAACTTCAAATCCCCATGTTTCAGAGGTTTGTGTGAGTCTTCACTCTGAACAACCTTCTGTTGATAAAACACCGATTTATACCAAACCAAGTAAATTGCAGTGAATGGTGTGAGATTCCGCAACACAGACTGTGTTTTTCTTTCACGTGTTGTTCTTTTTTTCTTTCATAAATGACGCTGTGCATGGAGGGAGTGGCTGAAGACAGAGTTTTGTCCCCGGAGAGTGTAAACGGCGCAGCGGCACGCCGCAGACGTAATCACAGCCCTTCAGGAACGCAGATTTACGATGACTCAATCTCTCTAAACGTTCGAACCTCTGTACGAGCCCAGCTGCCTGAAGCAGCCTGACATTTCCAGCCAACCTGCATATGCCTCCCTGTAAAGCAGTCAGGTTCACTCAGACAATAGGCTTGACTCACTGGAGACGTGCTAAATTAATATATATCTGCAGGTTGTAGTCCTTGGTGTGACTCTACTCCAATTAAGTAAAGTTTCAACCAATGGAAATGAATGAATTCACAGTAATGCATCTGACATGTTTCAATGTCTAAATAATAATCATATAACACTATAAATTATGGCTTCAATTCATTTTTTCAAATTATCTTCATAATTAAGTCATTAAAAAGTAAACAAAGTCATGCAGAGTAGGTTGATGTGAATTGCTCAGTTCAGAAACGTATCCAGTCAGAATTCTTCGCAGTGGTGGTGATAGGAACCAGACGTCTGAAGAGAATAACTGCCCCTAAAAGCTCCCTCACAGAAAGTTATTACATGAAATGGTTATGAATACACTGCCTAATGCCTGAGACACTGTTTTATGAACATCACTGAACGTGTTTAGGATTATTTGGATTCTGAGAATCAGAGAACGCAACCAACTTCTAAGACTGAACTTTGGAGTTGTGGAAAATGTTCAGATGTTTTTAGAGTCCTAAAAAGAACGGAAGCTATAATGAAAGTAAAGAGTGAACACAGTAAATACTGGAAAAAAGGGATATTATATTTAGTTATATTTTTGTTAAATATATGTATACATACTTTGTCCTCAAACTATATCAACTGGCTTCCACAGACACTGTGTCTCAAAAGTTCTTTTGACAGCTGAATTTTCTCACTATTACAGATCATTTGAATAAAATAATAATAATAATAATAATAATAATAATAATAAAACAGCAACTTAGTGACTGCATAGCGAGAAACTGCCCTGGTTACTGCACAGTGACAATGAAAACCTATTTATATTAAAAACTTTGTTAACCCCTTAAAATCCCAGGCTTATTACATACTAAGGCTTATCATTCAGTAACGACAGGGACTCCAATGCATGTTTAGGTTATTGAAGTGTGTAATCAAACTTTGGGCCCACCAGCAGGCCCTGTCCATTTAAAAGGTTAAAAAAAAAGCTAGGTGTTCCCAAACTTTTGACAGGCAGTGTTCAGTCAGCGCCAACTGCTTCACTCACATCCCATCCCTCCTATACTGAGTCAGAATAATTGCATCTTCTTATGAAACATCAAGCTAAATGCTAAACCCTATTACCGAGCCTCTAGCTTCGGCCAACCAGATTTCATTATTTGTAACTACGCCAGAACATGCTTGCTCGTGCTTGGGCCGATAAATTTTCAATTCCCACTTGGCCTCCCTTCCCTCATACATCTCCTAACAGTAATGCAGACTGCAGCGGGGACGTTAATTGGAGCAGGTCGAGCGGCACTGCACCACTAAACGGATCCCAAAAGCTTGATCAACAAATAGTGGCAACACAATCTAGAGACTGCGTAACCGCAGCCCCTTTCCTGGTAATTGCTGTCGCCGCACACAAACACACTGGTACGGAATCAGGCTCATAATCAGACGAGACAATGAGAGCGAGCGTTTGTCATATCTCTCCATCGAGGATGTTGATTTACCGACTTCGCTGCCAAAGAAAACATTTTCAAAGAGAGATGAGACACACAAACACAAACGGGCAAAGCTCCAAAATAACAGCAACATCATCAACCGTGCCAATGTCTATTACTTCTCCATGTATCCCCTCCCACCTCTCCACTGATTATCAGCAATAATGAAGCCACAAGTAGGCTAGGAAAGAAAACTCTATAAGGTATGGATTGACACCGAAGTGCACTGACAGGAGCAACATCAAACTGTTGTATGCAAAGTAAATGTATAACATGCAAACATACGTACAACATACAACTGACGAAACCCCTGAAGGTGGTTGTTTTTATTCCTTTATTTATGAGAAAAACGCTACCTATCAATCAGGGTCAATATATACCTTACAGAACTTTTCTATAGAGCCTGCTTGTGGCTTCATCACTGCTGAGATTCACTGGGCAATCATGAGCGACAGAAAAGGAGCACATAAAGAGAAATCCCACTGATTTCCCAAAATGTCCAAGACGTGGACAAAGTCATTCAGAGTGGTTTGATGTGAAATGGTCCATTGTAGAGAAACTGATTTCTTTACAGTGGTGGTGATAGGAACCAGAGGTCACAGTGTCTATAGCACAAATATAGTCATTTTATTTACTGTCCAAAATCACTAGTGAACCTACACGTGTCTGAGTTTCTATATGTAATGTTGATAATTGTGAAATTATAAGTTTTCTTGGGTATTTTCCCTCACAGGGCTCCTTATGTATTTCTTTGGCTAGAATATAGAAGTTCTTATATAAGTAACGTGTAAATTTTAGGCCAAAACCTAATTTCAAAACAATGTTTCAGGCATCAGGCAGCATTTTCATAACCATTCATTAATAACCTTCTGTGAGTGAGTTTTTAGAGGCATTCAATTCTTCAGATGTCTGGTTCCCATCACCACCACCGTGAACAATTCCACAATTCTTGTTAACTTTCTGTAGAATGGTGCATTTCAGCACATATCCTTAAGGTCTGGACTTGCCCTAACGATTTCAAACAAAGTTAAATTTAGTTATTTAACTAGATTGAGCCATGATAGAGCTCTTCTCTTATATGTTGCAAGTCCTTGCAGATTCTCTGTGTAGAAGCAGCATGTTAGATGCAGCTTGGAACTAAGCTCTGCAGGAAATTAGATGTCCAGCAGCAGGGTTGGTGACCACTGCTCTAGAAAGAATACACTCCTATACATTTTAATGCACAATTACTACTCGCATTTTCAAAAACATTTTATGTTTTTTTTTTTTTTAACTCAGCAAAGAAATAGAAATTTAGTCAGGACCACTTCGTCAAATAAAATATTTTGCTTCTATTTGCAGTAGGTTATATTTGGTGATATGGCTCTGTTAAAGCAGCTTAAGCAGCTTAAATAAGCGCCCTAACAAATTTAGCCAATCGTATATGAAGGAGGTGATCTGCTGAGCCATCAGCTAATTGAGATCAGCTGATAACAGCTGGTGATTTGAGACTGGGGTCTGAGCTTGACTTGTGTCCTGCTCAATTTGGGCACTAAAACTGTGGAAAAAAAAAAACTGTTTATTGCCTCTAGTGGATTAACTTATTTTCACTTAGAAAATCAATAATATGTGTTGCCTACATAGTGATTTAGAGGTTTTCCCCCCA